CAGGCCCGCCCCCGCCCTGCCCCCCCCCTCCCCCCCTGCCACAGGCAGCAGCTGCTCTGGTGCCGCTGTCAGAGCAGCCCCTACCTGTGGACTTAGGCTGCTTCAGCCCCAAAGCTAGTCCAACCCCTGCCTGCAGCGGCCTCCCTGTGGGGCTGGAGCAGCCTCCTGCCCGTGGCTGGCAGGGAACTGCTCCAATCCCCACCAGTTATCTGGTTAAATCTTCACATCCCTACCTCAGAAAGAAAGAAAAAAGGTTGAGATTGATTGGATTAGAAAACCAAGTTTGCCCAGGTTCACACACTTCCACTGCCGGATAAAAACAAAAGCTCTGTTCTGATACCCATTGGCAGCCTGCAGGGGATCAGGTACTCATATCTTCCCCAGATGTTAGTTCATGTGCGTCGCTGTACGAGTAGCTGTTTAGTGTTAGGAAAGAGAGAGGTAGATGAGTATCTGGAGCAAACTGTCAGTGCTTCTGGTATTCAGTGCCCCCTACAGACTGCAGCTTCTGCTTGCAAGAAACATTCTCAATGGCATGAGTTGCGTGCCAGCAAGTGAGCCCTAGTTTCAGCAGACCATTAGGTTGGGACATTGTCACAGCAACACAGTGCTTCAAGAGAGTAATCAATATACTCAAGAAGGGGACGATCCAATACAGAGGTGTGAATAGAGGCAGGCAGCAGTGTGCGTGCGAAATACGCATGTGTACACTGATGTTTTTTCAAAATGGCTATCTAAAGTTAGTTTAAATTCTACTTGAGCAAGGGTTTAAGTGATCTGATATTCTGAGGTGCTGAATAATTCCCACTGAAGTCAGATAGGAGTTGAGTGTGCTCAGCACCAGTGTTTCCTGAAAGCTAAGTATCAGGTAATTCACTAATCGAATGGTCGATGCATTTTTGCATTGGCTATTTGATTAGTCGATAGGGCAGCGCTGCCACGTTTCAAAGAGGCAGCGCACCACGGAGCCTGGGATCAGCTGGAGTCCCCAGCCTACCATAGGCTCGATGTAGCACTACCTTTTTAAAACACCGCTGCAGCGTTTCAAAAGGGGCAGTGCCATACTGAGCCCGGGATCAGCTGTGTGGTGCTGCTGCTTTGAAATACCCCTCCCACAGCTGCCTCTCTCTGATAGAGGCAGCAAGGGGGAGGAAAGCGACTAGTCGACTATCCTGTCGACTCTCCAATAAGCACTTGCTTATTGGATGGTCAACTAGTTGACTAGTCCTTAACATCCCTAGTTGCCATCCATTCAAATGCCGCCCATAGCTACCCACAGCCAGCAGCATATGTTTCTACCAGTGGTTCACATTGAATGTAAACGTTGATTCTCTGTATCTATAAAATGAATCCGCCCATTTTCTCAAGACTGAGGGGCCATTTTAATGGTGAAAACAGGAGGAGTTGTCATTTTACCTTGTTCTGGAATTTTATTTTCTCTTTTCTAAAAGAGAGCTTCAGCTGGTTCACTGGGAGATGATGAAAATAGTCACTCACCAGGATTTTTCTCCATTGACTGTGGCAGAGATTTATCTCGTTTCCAATCGTGATAACTTCTTTAAAACCATGCTATTTTTACTCTTGGAATCTACCTTGTGCACAAGCCATTGTCAAAATCTGCCAGAGCTTCATGCTTTTGTTTTCTAGTGAACTTTTTTAACAGGATCATAAATAATACTACACACACATTTCAGAAAGAAGCTCCATTTACATATTGACACTTACTTTTAAAAATTCTGAAATGTTCTTATTGTCAGCAAAGTTTAGTTCTAAACATTTTGAAAGCTTGAAAATATCTGTTTTTTTAGTTACAAGAGAAATCAAAATCAGCCTTCTGTGATGACTCTGTTGGCAACCTTAAGCTTAGAAAAAGCAAGCCCCCTTTCCATTATCTGCCCCAATCCTGCAGCTCCAAAAATGCAGGCTGCTTTGGCCAAAGGAAAATGTTAGCTGTAGAAGGATCCTTATGTTTGCTAAGCTTCTGCTGGCCAGTAGAGGGCAACATACCTCAATATATATCTGATCCTGCTTCCCCTAAAGTCAGCACCTAAAACATACCTTAATACTAACAGGGGCAAGGTTGGGCCTCAAATTGTCCACTGCAAATGTTAATAAATAATCTGTTTTCTTTAAATATCACTACCTATGAATTTTATGGAGATTGTGCAACATGGAAAGTAGTAATTTTTGTGAGTTCGAGGGAGACAAAGAAATGAGAATTAATCGGACTTCATTTGGGGCAATTCTCATACAGGTTGCACTTTCTTCAGATTTTGTAGAAACGTGTTCCTTTTGTCTTACAGATAATTATTGCAGTTTTGGGACCAAATGAAATTTCCAAGCCAATGTATGCTAGTGTTTCATAACAAAAGTTAGCTCCAACCATATTGGTATTGCTATTTTATTTTCTTGTGTGTTTAAAAATAAATAGTTCAGATTGCCTTTGTGATATTGCTGGCAATGGTGTAAAGTGAGACTGAGAAGCATAAGTAATATTTTATGAGCAATGTACGTCCTGCCTTTGGGATTTGTAGACTTTTTTTTTTAATTACAAAGTAGGGAACATTCATATCTCTTAATCTTTCCTCTTCCATCCCTTCCTTCCCTTTAAACTGGCACAGTAGTTGTCTCACCTCAAGTTGTGCTCTGTTATTACTTTGGTATTAAAGTGATGTTCCCAACAGTAGATCAGTAGAATGTGAATCTGAAGTTCTGCTTGGTGTCCGCGTTAGGGTATCAGTGAATGTAACAAATCCCTTTTGTTTGACCATTTGTCTTTAATCTCAGCTTCAGTCCCATCCGTTTGTACTGCTTGTTGTCAAACAGTCATAGAAGTGAACCCATAAAATACTTTTCTTGTTTCTACAGCAGGGAGACAAAATGGAAGGCGAGGCAATCGAAGCTATTGGGGAAGAGTCTGAAACATTCATTAAGGGGAAAGAGAGAAAGACCTATCAGAGACGCCGTGAAGGTGGCCAGGAGGAGGACGCGTGCCATATGCCACCAAACCAAGCTGATGGAGCTGAAGTGGTGCAGGAGGTCAGCGGTGGCGTGCAAATGGTGATGATGGAGCAGCTGGATCCAACGTTGCTTCAAATGAAGACGGAAGTAATGGAAGGCACAGTGCCTCAGGAAGCCGAGGCTACAGTAGATGATACACAGATTATAACACTTCAAGTTGTTAATATGGAAGAACAGCCTATCAATCTTGGTGAGCTTCAGCTTGTCCAAGTACCTGTTCCAGTGACTGTACCTGTAGCCACCACATCTGTGGAAGAGCTTCAGGGAGCCTATGAAAATGAGGTTTCTAAAGGAGGCCTGCAGGAGGGAGAGCCCATGATCTGTCACACGCTTCCTTTGCCAGAAGGGTTCCAGGTAGTGAAAGTAGGTGCAAATGGTGAAGTGGAGACACTAGAACAAGGTGAACTGCAGCCACAGGAAGATCCCAATTGGCAGAAAGACCCAGACTATCAGCCACCAGCCAAAAAAACAAAGAAAACCAAAAAGAGTAAGCTCCGCTACACAGAAGAAGGCAAAGATGTGGATGTGTCCGTGTACGACTTTGAAGAGGAGCAGCAGGAGGGTTTGCTGTCTGAGGTTAATGCGGAAAAGGTGGTGGGCAACATGAAGCCCCCTAAACCAACAAAAATCAAAAAGAAAGGTACATTCACTATTCTTAAGTAGCACTCTTTAAAACATTTGTGTCACTGTGGAGCTCATGAAAGGGCTGAAAAAGAAATGACAATAAATGGAGCGAGATTGTATCGGGAGTAAAAATGTTCTGTCGTTAATTACGGCCAGAAGTAAAAGCTCGCTGTTCTTCCATTTTCAGAGGAAACTTCCCTCTTCTGTATGTGTGCTACATAGCCATTTACTTTGCTTTGACTATGAAGCTACAACGTGTTGCTGCTGTAGAGCTAGACTTGAAAGGATTCTATTTTTACTGCGTATCACTGGCTCATGTAGATATTTGTTTGAGATGTTAGTGTTTTGCTCAGATTTAGTTGCACATAGGGATGTGAAAGATTAACCGGAAAGCATCACCCTTAACGGATGATGCTTAACGCCAGCCCCTGTCTGTGGCAGGCAAAGCATGTCATAAGCAGGGGCTGCTCCAGGTGTCCAGAGCAGTCCCTATCTGCAGTGGGCCTAGGGAAGCTGCTCTAGCCCAGCTGGGCAAAGGGGAGGTTGCTCTAGCCCAGTTGTTCTGGAGCACCCCCCACATCAATTGGTTAACCAGTTAAATGTCCTGTTTAATGGCATAACCAGTTGAATGGGATTTTATGTTCCTAGCTGCGCACGGTTACTTTCCATGCAATAGTTTCCCAGAGCCAGGAGAGACGAGAGCAGTCTTGAACTTGCAGTGGCGTAGCTGGCTGATTCATGTAACACTGGACTGCTTTGTGATCAGGTGTGAAGAAGACATTCCAGTGCGAGCTGTGCAGTTATACCTGCCCGCGTCGCTCTAACTTGGACCGGCACATGAAGAGTCACACTGATGAGAGACCACACAAGTGCCATCTCTGTGGCAGAGCTTTCCGGACAGTCACGCTGCTGAGGAACCACCTCAACACTCACACAGGTAGTGTACACAGAGGTAATGCTGTATGATCGGTAATGACAGTGGTATATTGCACTTCCCATATGGCCCTCCCCGCAAGAGAAGTGTGTACAGGGAATCAATACAAATTTTGTTTAAAGCGTATATAGGAGAGGAGGGAAAATAGAAATGAATGACATAATTTTATTAGAGGCTTCTTCAAGTACCTGTCCAATGGCGATAGTGGGAACGAGAACCAAAATTAAGCCACCGCTCACAACAAAGGGAGTGGAAGGGGGAAATGATTCCATGTTCCCAATTTCTTGTATACATAGATACTTCATGAAATGATCGGGTTCTAAGAATACCCGTAGGAACAGAAGACAATGCAGTGTTTCATGTATCTATCTATATAGTGTTTCATTTAGCTAACTACATCCTTTTGATCATCCTCAAATTATAACTCTAGAAATCTGATGGCTAGTTTACAAAGTAGTGACTTTTCAGTTCTTGTGCACGGTATCTGTACCACAGGTCTCAGGTTTTTTAGTTAATAAATCCAGAGTTTCTAATTTATAAAGGTAAAGCGAGCATATTTTGTGTTTTGTTGGCTTATCACTCAGCTTTTGTATTTCCCCCTCCTTTCTGGCTATGCACATGTAGGTACACGCCCTCACAAGTGCCCAGACTGCGACATGGCCTTTGTGACCAGTGGAGAGTTGGTTCGGCATCGCCGTTACAAACATACCCACGAGAAACCATTCAAATGTTCAATGTGCGACTATGCTAGTGTAGAGGTATGTTTGGGTTAATCTTGACAACAGAACCAGCCATTCATGCCCTACATGCAAGGGTCTGTGTCAGCACTTTGCATTAAAACATTTTATTTACAGGCGCTTAAGTGTCTTTGAGTAGCAATGTTGTAAATAAAGTCTAGTGGAATGTGCACAAAAAGCCTAGAGATTTTTCATTACCCTTTAGGGATCCAATAGCAGAGTTTTATGAACAATAAATCCAACATTCAGAGTAACTCCAGTGTAGCAGGTAATAATTGTGGTATAATTAGTCACAGTTTACTGTGACGGGTTAGAACACAACAACATCTTGAGATAAATTTACTTTAAGGTTGGTAACACTGTCAGAGTTTAAAAATGTGCTCTCAGTCTTGTACCGTGCACTTGCTTGCTAAAAATGGCCATCTGCTGTCAAAATTAGTCTTTTTTGGGAGGACGCGGGGGGAAGGATCGTGTCTCTTCTCCAAGAGTAGTTCTTGTTCAAAATGATTGAAAAGCTGACTGGGAGATGGCTTACTGGAATGTACTTCTCCTCCTTTTCTAATCCGCACTGAAGCTGAAGGAGAATTTTTTAAAATAAATGCAACTTTCAAAAGAAATCACCCATGCTGGGTAGCACGGAGAGGCGGCTTATGCAAGCTAAGATTCAGCATGGTTGATAGGAGTGGGACATGCAGCGATAAGTTGAGATGGTACAGGAAGTAATTAGGGTGGGTATCCCAGTCTCATTGTAGTTACCCCTTTTGACTTGAGTGGTTAGCCAAGTCCAGGGTGTTGGGGGTGCTCTGGTTAGGTGGAGGAAATCATGCCGAGCCTGTATTTTCGTGTTTGACAAGGAGTTCACAGAGTTCTGTTTCTTTGAACACAGGAAGAACCATGCCAAAGAGATTCTTTCCTCGCAGCCCCACCCCTCGTTACCCAGCGCCACAAGCCCCCTCTGTAGGCTCCCTTCAGGGTCACAGATTATCCAGGCTTTGCCTGTCATCTTCTGTGCTGTCTCCAAGTTGTTCACTTACCTGCTCATGTTTCTGGGCATCCATATGCTCTCTAGCTAGGCCTATTCCATTTCACATCTAGACTGACTCGTAACACACGCTTGAATCTTTTGGGTAATCCGAGAAGCCTTTCTTGGCTTGTTCTAAACGGGGCTGTCGTCCTCGTCTGTGCTAACGCCAGTCTGTTCTTGGCTTTCAGGTCAGCAAGTTGAAACGCCACATTCGCTCTCACACCGGAGAGCGCCCATTCCAGTGCAGCTTGTGCAGTTATGCCAGCAGGGATACTTACAAACTGAAGCGGCACATGAGGACCCACTCTGGTATTGACTCCATGCTTTGTTACTGTGCTGCCGGTGCTCCACATGGGGTGCTTAATATGCACTAGCCCTCACCACACCTGTCACCAGGATGTAGGCAAAATGAAAGACTTCATGTTTAAGCAAAAAAGGTGTAAATTCGGCAAGCCAGGAGGGGTTTGCTTAAGAGAGCCTATCTTCAGTGTTGTCACTGAAAACTAAAAATATGTTTATCAGCATGAGAGCCCTAGAATACAGGCATACCATAAAATAGAGGGGTAAATGTCTGCATGTGAGTGGTTGCCCCAGTGTCAATCTTTGCACAGATTCAGGGTCACGCTTGTTTAGTGTTTGTGAAAATCACATAGATAACTGACACCAAACACTAGTACAATACTGATCTTGCTGCTAAGGTGCGAAGAACAATGTTTTTCACAATGGGTTTTTTGGGGGGAGATATTGGCTCTTGGGAAAGCAAAAACTGGATAGTGTGTGTCAGGTCTTTGCATGTAGCACTTGAGCTCTTCACAAAACTCTTGGGGTATGTCTACACTACCCTCCTAGTTCGAACTAGGAGGGTAATGTATGCATACCGCACTTGCTAATGAAGCCCGGGAAATTCAAATCCCGGGCTTCATTAGCATAAGGGGGGACCCGCCATTTTTAAATCCCCGCTGCTTCGACCCCCGTGTAGCGCGGCTACACGGGGCTCGAACTAGGTAGTTCGGACTAGGGTGCCTATTCCGAACTACCGGTACTTCTCGTTTCACGAGGAGTAACGGTAGTTTGGAATAGGACCCTAGTCCGAACTACCTAGTTCGAGCCCCGTGTAGCCGCGCTACACGGGGGTCGAAGCAGCGGGGATTTAAAAATGGCGGCTCCCCGCTTATGCTAATGAAGCCCGGGAAATTCAAATCCCGGGCTTCATTAGCAAGTGCGGTATGCATACATTACCCTCCTAGTTCGAACTAGGAGGGTAGTGTAGACATACCCTTACTGTCCCTAACTCCTCAGCAAGGCTGGGCTGATTGGCATGAATGACCTTGTGATATGGGTACAATAGGGACTGAGACTTCCCTAACCTCCTCTAGCCTTTTCTGTGCCACCAAAGCCACTTTTTGACTGTTCCTTCCCATTCAGGTATGTTTTTAATTACACTAGCCTGGTTAATAAAACTAACTTCATGCACTAATTACTCTTTCCTTCCCCTACTAAAGGAGAGAAGCCGTATGAATGTTACATCTGTCATGCTCGCTTCACCCAGAGTGGCACCATGAAAATGCACATTTTACAGAAGCACACGGAGAATGTGGCCAAATTTCACTGCCCACACTGTGACACAGTCATAGCAAGAAAGAGCGACTTAGGTAAGTACTCCTTATCCTTGTGATGAAAAATGTCTTTGGAAAACTCTGGTCTGCTCAAAGTTGAGGGAGAGCTTCACAAGATAGGGATTAATATGGATGAAATTGCATAGGCTGTAGGCTCTTATGAGTGGTGCAAAATATGGTGCTTACTGATCTGAGTGGTGCTGGACGGTAATTTGTTGATTTATAATAGCGACCCCTTACTGTGAAAAGTATTGACTGCTTCTCATGCTATTCCAGTGCGGCAGCACACTTACCAAGAGTACAAAGCAGGCTGCCCTTATGGTGCTCATAGACATGCACTCACTGAGCCAACATAAGACTGTTGCTTGCTGGCTTCACAAAATTTGCTCTTCCTGCCTATCTTAGGGTATGAGACTGGCTCAGTGTTTAAAATATGCTATCCTAAACTAAATGTAGAGCAATGACATGGACTTTCTTCAGGGCAGCAATCCCTCTGCTGTTTTTTCATAGGAAAAAACCCCCACACGTTAAATTATTTGTGCTAATCATTGAACACTGGGTGGGGTTCTGACCAGGATAACAAAGTCTTGTTGAATCACAGCGGTGCAGCTCCCTTACGTCTGTCGGGGTCTGTTTTATAAACTGCTATTGTCACAAGGTAGGGAGTTGATAGTAGTGCTGTGGTGAAGCCTGGCACAGCATGGTTGGGTACCTGGCACCCCCACTTTGACTTGTAGAATCTATTCTTCTCAGTTTTACAATTGTAAATGGGTTTTTTACTTTCTTCCAAGGTAAATGGAAACCCACAAAGCGAAGAAACCACTAACCCTAAACTCTAGCCTGATATTCTCCCTATTTCGCCTTGCTCATTTTGTCACACCCAAGAATCTGTCTGCCTTGTGTTTTAACTCCTATTCTTCATGGGGAAATAGAATCATAGAACACTAGAGCTAGAAGGGACCTCGAGAAGTCATTGAGTCCAGTCCCCTGCCCTCATGGCAGGACCCAGTACCTCTAGAGTTTAGACCATCCCTAGTTTTGTGGTTTAATAAATCAGATATTTGAATTAGCTTATTAATGAGCTATTAGCTCTCAGGTGCATTTCCAGCTAGTGTAGTTTATGTACATTTGGTTTGGGGATGGAAATAAACTTCCTTTTTGGGAAACAGGAAAACAGAGATTTGAGAGAGAAAATCCTAATTGTGTAGCAAGGTGCTGTTATTGAAATGTCAACGTGTGAATAGGGCCCAGGATTTTGGCTTCCAAACAGGTTAAATAAGGGAGCATCCAAGAGGATAGTTAAGAGAATATTTATCTTTACCAG